ATCTGCGATAGTTATTGCGCCATCACCGGCAGATTTATTCGGACACACAGGGGAGGGCGCAACAACTATTCACTCATCAGTCTACAGGCTCCCAGGCTCTGGCTCGTTTTGGACTAGCTCGTTAAGGTTGGATTTGTAGTTCTCTAGTCTGTCTCTAGTTACACTGCTGTAACGTCAGAGTATAATAATAATAAAAAAAATAATAATAATAATAATAACTTTTATTATATAATACACAACTGCACCATCAGTGGGTGCTGTATGGTAAGAATACAGATCGGAAAAAACAAACACAAATAAACAAAAACAACAAAAGTTTCAAAATTACAAACAAATCAAAGGGTATATATAAAATACGTATTACAATTAGGTTTTATAAATTGTATTTTTTAAGTATTTTGCAAGTGCAGTACTACTATTTATGATGCAAGTGAATATTAAATTTCGGTTAGTTGTACTGCACATTTCTAATTTACAATCTTCTAAGAGGGTATTTCTTTTTTAAGTGAAGAAGCAACAGTCAAGGATGAAATGTTTTTCATCTTCTACAGTACCTGTGTTGCATTTTTTACACAGTCTGTAATTTGCCTCCATTCTTGGAAATTTTCTCCTGCCCAATTCAATTTCCAAATTATGGTCACTAAGTCTAAGTATAGTAGCAGTATAACAAAAGTATAACAATGAAGAACTGGTCTTTCCAACCATGGTGGATTCAATTCATGATTTCCTGCGGTAATAGTTTTACAATACACCTATGATGAATTGTAAAATGTATTCTTACGTGGAAGACATTTTGAAAAATGAAATGTAATTTTTAACAGCATGTAGTCCCCGGATCGATCAACAACAATGTTTAATATTACTTATCATGTCATGTGTTAAAAACCCTTTATCTTAAAGCGGGAGGGTCGTCACCTGCGCACACGCGGGAGTTGAGTCCCAAGCGATGATAACAACACACGCTAAGAATGCAAAGGTTCATGGGTAGGCGCTTGTTTGTAAACAATGACACGCTATGGCCACCTGACGCATGCGTAGGTGACGATTACCCCCCCCCCCCCCGAGCAGTGAATTTTTTTATCTGTATTATTCATTACGCACTTAGGGAGTCTCATTTCTCATTCAACATGGTGTCTTCCATCTTTCTGTCAACATTCAAGCACGTGTTGAATATAAAATAGTTTTATTACTTGTTTAGGCCATATTTGTCTTTAGGCAAGCAAAGTGATGCCCGTGTGCTCAAACTGTGAGGCAGTAGACAATTTTTATATTGAAGATGGGTTTTATTTCTGCAGTGATTGTAACACTCAAAGTCAGGTAAGTGGATGGTGCATGGTGGGATATCATCACGATTATTGACATCATCATCGTGATCGCGGTGCTATTTAGTGAACTCAATTTTCCACCCACTGCAGCCAGTGATTTATTGTACTGTACTGTAATTTGTAGGTAGTGGTGTGTGTTTACCTGAAATGCCATACATTCAGTTCTCTTAAATCCTGGTATGGGCAAAGTCGCTTGTTAAAACGAGAAATTATTAATCCACGAGGCCCTGACTCGGACCTTCACAGACTAATAATATTTCGCTTTAGTTTTAATCATGATCACCTGAGGTATAGGTAACATCCTCTGTTCCAATAAGCGTTGTCGTTTAATTTGTTCTCCGTGATCACTAGACAATAACTTTAGTAGTTATAGAACCTAATTAATCGACTGCCATCCACAGTTCAAGGTCGAGATCTGTTCATTGTGCATATTAAACAACCCAAACATAGATGAAAATAATCAATAAATGTGTAAAAATACTAAGAGGTAACCAGTTTTTGTAATCTGGGAGAAGCTGGAAGATTTGGGGGGGGGGATTGATGTGAGCTGAAAATAAGGAAGAGAAAATCGCAGGCTCAATCAATATTGTGAAACAAAATTGTTCTCTCAACTGTTGTGACAGAATTTTAAAAAAAAAACTTCATACTGGGAAGAAAATAATGTTCAGACATGCTAGTCACAGGACAAAAATCCCTACTACATTTGTGTGAAAAACTTAAACTATTGACCAATTTCCTACAGCCTCCCTCACAATTTTAAATGGGTCACCCCTAACAAGTAAATCCACCTTGAGTGTTCAAAATTTACACCCCCAGGAGTGTCTCTTCCCGCATATACTGTTTAAATTTAGTAAGTTCATGTTCTTGTACAACTTTAATAAAACTGTTGTCATTGTATATGCAATCACTATGTTACAGAAATTCCTTAATCACTTTCCACTGTTACATTAAAGCGAGGTAGTCGTCACCTGCTCATGCATCATTTGGCCATAGCGTGTCATTGTTTACAAACAAGTGTCTACCCATGAGCCTTTGCGTTTTTAGTGTGTGTTGTAATCGTCGCTCGGGACTCGATTCCTACACATGCGCAGGTGACGACCCTCCCGCTTTAAGCATTATGCCATCGTGTGAAGACATTCTAACCCAATGTAATGTAATGTAATGGGTTCATACTACATAGGACATTAGAGATATCCAGTTGGAAGAGGATTACGTAAAAACGCCATCATTGCAAATTAAATCAAAATCTGATGACTCCAAGACAAAGAAATCTAAAGGTATTGCATGAATGATACCATAGGGCTTATTTAATTATTCTTATAATGCAAAACGTACTGTAAAATTTGTATTAGAAGCTGCGTCTTCTATTAAAATAGTATATTGCAACAGATGGAATGCAGCTTCTATTAGAGTATCTACACATATGTGAAAATGATGAATTTTTGGTTCTCAGTCGCTCAAAAAGAATGGGTGTAACTTCTATTAGGGATGCAGCTTCTAATACAGAGTAATTTCAAATCTTTTGTGAACCACTTAGCAGCATTGGCAAATTCAAATTAAAAATCTTCTAGTCGGTGGAAAATTATTTATTTTTATTTCTTTAATTTCCAACGAAACAGTTCAGCTGTGAAAATTGCTTTAGACACAAAGTGTCTGATATTCTTAAAACAACATACATTCATCTAGCCTTTATCAGAATTATATTTTTAAAACACATTGTAATTTATCAGTCCCAGATAAAGGCAAACCATGGTTCACACATGAAGCTTTTCAGTTTATCTTAAAGAAACAAGTTCAGAAACTGATTGAAATTGGAGTATCACCTGCACTAGAGGTAAGCTGTGTAAATTGGATATGGTATGATTTGTGATTGGCTAGCAGTAATCACATGGTACAGTGTCATAAATAATAAGCCATTGTGATTTGTTAGAAATTACAACATGGTGCACTCCATCAAGCAATAGTCAAATCTGATTGGCTAAAATATACCAATAAAATTATAATAATATTGTGATGAAAGATTGTTATTACATCAATCATTAATGTCTTATACATGCAATTTTCATTAACACTTTGCTGGCTGAAAGTCTACGCGGAATGCCAAAATGAATATGTATGTATGTATGTATGTATGTATGTATGTGTACGTATATATACACATATATATATATAGCCTGCATAGAAATGTATATTGGTTAGGATTGGGCCACAGACTAGATTAGTTCGGATGAACTACCTCTGTGGTCCACACCAAGAATTATTATTATTTATTATTATTATTTATTATTATTATTTATTATTAATATAAGATTACTAGAATTGTTATTATTATTGGTGAAATAAATCATAATGTAATGTAATGTAATAAAAAAAATATTGCATCAACTGGTGATAAAATAAAAAAAAAAATATTTTTGTTAAGAGCATCAGAATTGTGCTACAAATTTCAGAAACAGTTAATTTGTCATGGAGCATATTTTCCTTATTGTAAAAACATAAGATTTCTCACAAATTATTCTGTATATTTTTTTGTAGGAGAATGTTTTTAAATTATGGTGTAAATATTTAAATAAAGTTGGTATCGCCTTTCATTCCAATGAAAAAGATGATGCTGTTGGTCTTGAACCATTTCCACGGTTACGAGATGAGTTTCCTGGCACTGAAGATGATCCTTTTAGGGAGAAAGCAAAAAAGGAAAAGAGAAAACGTTCAGACTCAGAGTCATCCCAAAGTGGCAAAGAAACATCAGATTCTGTATGTTATTTTTACTATATCATAATCTGCTTTAGTTTCACAATAGAATTTTTATTTCAGTGAAAATTCCACTAAAGATTCTTCAGGCAGGAAGTCAAAATGTCTTTCTATCTGCAAATTATATGTTAGCCATTGTTTGGACGAGGTCAGAAAACATTTTTAGCCTACTCTGCATACTTTTTTTTTGACCAGAGCCAATGCAGTGAGGTGCATTTATAATGTTTCCTACAATCAAAGACTGAATACTTTGGTTCTTTTAACTTTTGTTGCAATACTGGATGATACATTTTCAGATTTTATATACTACCGTAAAAACTCAATTAATTCGCGGTCTCTATTAGTTCGTGCACCCATCTTATTTTCGAACGCTAATTTTTAAATGTATCCTTTTAATTCGTGGCGTTCAAAAACATGTTTAAAATTGTATCCTATTAATTCTCGGGTCAGAATAAAGTGAATAACTCAGAATATATTGCATGAAGACATTAAAAATAAACATATAATTTTATGTTATCAGTACTTGGTGTCACCGCAATCGCAGATGATCTTCGTCATCACAGCCTTTCAGTTAGCAAGAAGTTTAGGTTCGGTAAAGATTTGACGTGAAAAAAATCATTCCCCCACGACACTACAGATGTTGGGCAAGATTATTACTTAGTCGATAAATATCAAGCACATCGATTACGAATTTCCGTGATGGAAAGCTTAGTACAGGGCTTTTTCGTCGCTGGTCCACAGGGTTGCATCGGCCATGTGTTCGCCATTATTCTATTACGTCATTTAAGTAAACCGCCCTATGGTGCGTAAATTTTTGATTGGTCGGGCGATTGACCTCTTGTCACATTTTCATTATACCGGATTCGGTATTGAGTTAAGCGGTCATGTACCTTTTATAAATCTAACCTTGCACACATAATCTTGTACTGACGTGTTTTTTGTCCAAGAAAGACGTTTCCTTTCCTTTAACCCCCAGTTAACTCTTCGCGTCCATGGTATTTGTGAGAGTTGAAAGACTTTTTGAAAAAATGACAAGTAACTATATTGATTTGCGTCAAGTTGGGTGGCCCGAATTTTAATATCAGTGCATGAACTCTGGAGGTCATTGCCCAATGTCGCACGTAATTCAAACGTGTGGTCATTAGAGTTCAGTCGAAATGTATGTGAATAATGCGATCGAAGTCCGCTGCCCAGAGTTTATTATATTATAGTAAAATTTAATTTGATGTATGGTATGTTTATGTTTGCGTAATTATTACGAATGCATATTGATATTGAAATATTCACAGACCCAATACCCCGAGTCAGTGCCCTAACAATAGTTAAAAAAAAATAATTATCATGAAAGCAATACATTACGAAGTTGAAATATTCAGAGCCGGTACAATATTGTAAACAAATTTGCATAATTAGAAAAGCAGTGCACTAAGTAAACGACGTTGATATATTTAAGCCAGTACAGAAGTGGAAAAAAGGTTGCGTAATTACAGTACCTTCGGATATAATAACAATTTTACTTGTTTGACGCGCGGGGCACGAAAGAAAAAGGTTGCTAAGGTAACGCGCCAGTTCAGTGCGTGACTTGGGGTCAAACCTCGGTCAACACACACTTGTCGCAAAAAAGTACTTGAAGTTCAATAGCGTCCCAAAATTATGTCGCTGATCACTCAGTTGTCGCAGCGTGTGTTGTGTAATGTCCATGATGCACCCCGTTTCGACTTTGGCCTGCTTTTCCTTCTTGTTCACGTAAAATGCGACCTCTCACCAATGTATTAAAACACTTTCAATTTATACTTTGCATGATTATATTTGGTCAACGCGAAACATTATTTTTTCTAAACATTTTCTGAGACCATTTTTATCAAAGCAGGGTTATTTTTCCAGACAAGATGGGCTTCGTAATATCTGCCATAACATCGCATTGCAGCCAGACGGCTACTTTGTAGCCACCTGTTCATTGTTTCTTTGTGTACAGAGTAACCTTTGCCATTTTTCACTGTTTCATTTCAAGTGTAACATGGTGCGTGATCCTTGACGCAGTGCGTGTTCTCTGGCCGACTATACGCCATGAATGTCGCTAGCCACAAGTCTCAGAGGCACTAAAAAAACGTCCTGTAATCGTGTTCATTGGAAAGCAAAACAAATCACTAATAAATTTATGAAAACAGCTCTTTTTTGAATCGATCTAAAAGTACTCTTTTAATTCGCGCACCAAAAAGCAGTAATTTCCGTTTTTACACTATCAATTCGTGCACTTGAAAAATAATTAATTTTACTATCGCGAATTAATTGAGTTTTTACGGTACATTGTCCGTAGACATGCATCTAAATTTGCATTTCTGAAGATTTCAAGATATATTAAAGCACGGTAGTCATTGCGCTGAGCATGTGCGAGATATATGGGTCTCATATAAACAAAGATGGCGACTTTGACTGTTGTGCAGATCAAAGAGTATGAACTGAGATGTTTCCAAGCTTTAATTAAGTAATTTTCATGTTATTGGAAGGTATCGAAGGAGTCACCGGCGGTAATCAGTGCAAGTCGCGTCCAGGTCAAACCTCATACTTGGAATTTCCATTTGAAGAGCGCATTGGATTGTGGGAAAATCAATGTTTATCAACACAAATGTCGCATAGAACCACTACTAATTATTAAAGGGGGTAGACATGTATTATCTTGTAATTTTGATGTACAAAGTTTGAGAGTGGTCCGATTTATTGTACCATTCCCCCAATTCTGTGTATGGAATTGACAATCAAGCATTTATAAAAATAGCAAACAAACCAGTTTACTTTAAATCTCTGGCAAATCGAGGCATTGGCGGCATTATTGACTTAATTGATCAGAAGGGGAGTTTTCATAATTGGCAGTACTGGAATATGAAGGGTATTACACAGATTGAATTCATTCAAATAAAAGGTCTTATAGCAGCTACACCTAAAGATTGGAAGCAAATTATTTTTAATTCAACACATACCTGGTTTGAATCTGAATATAATAGTATTTTTTGGGAAGGAGAGTACATTAATATTAAATCCTTAACAACTAAAATAATTTACAAAAAAATATGTAAACAACTAATTGAGCCACCCTTGATAGTGCAAACATTTAGGAACTCTTATGATATCTCAGCAGAACATATTACCATCACTTGTTTGTAGGTTGTCATTTTGTGCAAGAATTATGGGAATTGGTGCAAAAACAGTTTGAAGTAATTAGACATTCAAGTTGTAACTACAAAAACATCATTTTTGGAATATACAACTCACCAAAAAATAAAATGTTAAATCATACCATAATTTTATTCAAATGGTTTATTTATTTCTGTAGAACAAGAAACAAAAGGTTGTCATATTATGCGTTTAGGATGTTTGTTCTTTCCAATAGACAAGTTGAATATGAAATTGCAAAAAGAAATAATAAGGTCAACTTACATTTTGAAAAATGGGAGAAAGCTGAAAACTGGCTTAGTAATTAAGCACTGTATTTGTACACCAGATCATCTTTTGTTTTTGTATTTCCTTTTGTAAGTTTGTTTTTGTGTAATTACTTTATTCGAAAAATAAAAAAAAAACAAGAAAAAAAATAAATAAAAATAAAAAACACAAATGTCGCACATGCGCAGCGCGACGACTACCACGCTTTAACCTTATGAATGTCGTTCATTTCTCCTGTTTGAAATTTGGTACATTATTTCGCACATGTTCTTTAGTTTTATAAAGTTTATTTGATGTTCAAGTTATTCATACACTAAAGTCAACTTTCACTTAATTGTGCCCCACGTACAGTAAAATAAAATATGTCTTGTAAACATGTTTTGTTGATTCAAATCAACTTTTATATTCAAATACATTATTTAATAAATGTTGAACAATGAACATATGTCTTGTTGTAGTATTAAATGATTTTAGTACCAACATAAAACAATTGAAAAAAAATGTGTCACCAATTTAATTTTCAATGTGATAATATTAAATTCAACAGATGCAAGATTCCATCTCCTGTGAAGAAACTGATCCTAACGTGAGTGATTCCGATCCAAATGATGGTCTTGATGAGAATGTTGATAGTGATGCTGAAAATATAGATGATGATGAAGATAAAGATGAAGATGATGATAATGATAAAGATAAAGATGATGATAATGATAAAGATGATGATAATGAATCAATCGGTTCTGTTGACCAGAAGAGACCACATAGCACAAACCGGATAGATCGAATGAGTATGGACCTGACTGTATGTTTTATATACTTAGCACTTCTATGGTTAAGAGAACCTGTGTTATTGTGTGATCTACTTAGGTGAGTTTCCTGTGTTATGGGTACTATGTAAAGACAATTCAATTCCTGTGCATATTAAACAATGCTCCATGATTTTGTAGCCAATCAAATCATGTGACATGGTAATAGGCCACTTTCCTGGTCAAAGATACAGCATTTCGCATATGCACACATACCGATTTGGGGTGTAATGTAAATTTGCTTGCATGATATCATGCTTCTCGGTGTACAAACTGACGTCACAAAAATAAAATTCTCTTCCATCAGCAAACTGACATCTTTGTATTTGCCGCCATGACAAAGCAGTATTTTTGCACCCCAGGAATAATTGTATTTGCTAAGATTTGAGATACTTTGAATGTATTTACCGTGGAAATCAGATTACTAACCATGGATTGTGATACAACGTTGCAACTGTGAAACAAAAAAATCAAATTAAGTCCAAAAAAACTGTGATCATACATTCATGATCTAAATAATAATGAATTTAGTAAATAACTTGAATAAAATACCAGTGACATGATTTCTTTGCAATGTAGGGAAGCCATTTATTTTGGTATTATTTGCATATAGTTAGGGTGTGTTGTCTATATGACGTAGAACATTTAACCCTTTAGACCCTTCAGGTCTTTTTTTAAAGCCAATACAACACAAACACCATCTGTTAGTGCTTTATTATTTTGACAAAATATGGTTGAAAGCTTTATTATTTTCTTAAAATAAAACATACATTTTATTGGAAACAAACATCACATTATGGTCAGTCAATGGCTATGAAGAACATTATTAGTCTTTAATTCAGACATCAGAAAATGTTACAAGAATGACACCTTAATTAGAATTCAGACGTCAGAAAATGTTACAAGAATGACACCTTAATTAGAATATTTACTGTAATAGTACCACTAAAATTGTGACATAAAACTGTATTTTTGATAAATGCATACATGGTTGCCTAGCAACTAACTTGAAGATCATTTTTTTTTAACAAGGAGGTGTATGGTGATACGATAACAAAGTTTAAAGTCATGTCAATCACTCACTCACTTCGGTGTATCAGTCTCTACACAAATACATTATCGTTGTATGTTTGTCTTCTAGATGGATACGTCAAGGTCATCTTCCTTATATTGGAGCCAATAAGATATTACCAAAACACATGAAATTTTCTTTTTTTGATAACAAGACATTTTGTTCACAAGTGAGTGTTATTTTCTGATCATTTGTAATACAGTGGTTGTGGTGCCAGACCCAGTATTTATAGAGTAAACACCCATCGTACAAAGTTGACACCTACTGGGTACTCTGGATCAGTATCCAAGAAACATCGTCGTAAATCCCCAGCCTCTCCACAACACCAGATAGTTAACACTAGAAAGCTGTGGTAAAAATACCTACATTGTAGTATTCAGTAGCTTGTAAATACAGTATTTGCGTCAACCTGGCTCTGTTTCATTACAAGGAACCAGTCAACTTGTAGAAATAAATGATCCATGCTTGTTTTTTAAAAGATGTGCTAATTGGTTATTTGATTGCTTTTGTGACCTTTACTCATGAATATTTAAATCATAGATCCATGTGTCTGTGTTTTGCCAGAGTACTGTTGAAAACTTTATTTTCGCTTGGAATTTATTTTCGCTATTTTCGCTGAAGGAATGATTCAGTGAAAATAAAATCCAGCAAATGTACATTTTTTCCTATATTTTACATTCAACTAATAAAAAATCTGTGAAAATAAATTCCATACAAAACACTCAAAAAGCCTTTTCAGCGAAAATTAAATCCAGCTAAAATAAATTATTTTACAGTATGTTTGGAGTGTAGCGAAAAAAATACTCTGGTATTGGAGGCTAAAGCAACTAGCTGAGACTAATCCACTGCATCCATCATTTTAGAGAACCTTGTTTAAGATCTGCATTGCGGGTATTTATTATTATGTTGAATTTTTTTTTTTTTTTTTTGCAGGTAATACCATCCAGTATGACTATCAGATATAAAGTTGGTAGACTGTCATCGTTTCTTGGCATTGATACATTTCCTACTATATATATAAAGAATTTGATATCCCGGTTTATACTAGACCTCAATTTACCAGGTAGAAGACAGGTTTCATTTGTTATTGCCGTATCTGATAATGTCGTTTACATTTAGCATCAAAAATTTACCATTTTGTAAAATAGCTGGATCTGCATTGATTGTAAAACTTATCTACACTCATTACAGAAATTTGAATTTCTCCTTACATGGAGTAAATTACGTCATCAACATTGAACGCATTTCAAGATATTGTCATCACATTCGAACACTCTCCTTTGTTTACAATGAATGCAGACACATTGTAGCACATAACTGGAATAGATTCCTGCACGGAACCCAGACTGTTGCATTAATTCATTATTACTACAGAAAAGATGTATAATAATTATCTAATATGGTTTTGACAAAAATACTGCAATAGAAATGTATGGTTGATACAATTGCCATACTTCCCTTTTGGTAACCTCATATCACTGTATGGGGGTAAAATAGTGAGATCCTATTTATCCATTATTTCTGGTCATTGCATAAATACTTCATACTATAACTGAATATATTTTATGTATACCTGTAGAGATATTGCTATCTGAATATTTTCTCTCAATTTTTAACTGTTTTTTAACTGCCTGCATTCTTTTGAAAAAATAATTTGACAATTCCCATCAATAGTTAAAGCCACACCAACTATCTCAATACATCCCTCCCCACCCCCACCCCCCCAAACCAAGCTATGTGAGCTTCAGGGGTCATGCATATTAAAGGATTATTACATGTTTAGTCTAGTATAACACATGTCAAAAACATGTCTCTTTATAAATTATAATAACAGCATAATTTGTTCCATATCTATCAAGCTTTATATAGAATGATTTCAGTATAAAACACACAAATCTGATTAACTATGTTTTATTAAGTTGGTAACATTTTGTTTATAAATACTCTCATGTATTTAATGTTACTTCCTGTGTTGTCACTTCCTGTGTTTGCAGCGGAATTTCATGGTTATGTAAGTAATTTATTGGACACTCCATATTTGAAGTTTGAAGTCACACCAATAATGAAAACATTGATAAGCTACGAGGGCATTGCAATTGGTTACATCATTGTAGCTATCAAGATGATGTTTGGTTTAGATGATGTAACTGAGCATAAAATATCGCAGCAAGCTGAAAAACTACAACAAGATATTAGTACAGGTGAGCTTGAGAATGATTTACTTATTTAATATCTTTTAGGAATCTTTCGGTTAATCGTAACACAATGAAAATTGGTGGTTTAGACATTAGAATGTGGAAAATTGATTTTATTCATTGCAAAACCATCTGGTATTAAAAATAGTTAGGAAATTTGAATTTATGTGCTGAGAATGACAAGGATTTGGTGTTCAGCGCAATATACATCACTCCATCAACTAATGCCTAGAATCTGCAGTC